TGATGTCTGTTCTGTTGACAGAGCTTAGGATGAGGTGTAAAGCTTGGAGCAAGGCTGTGGAAGGAGGACAGAATAATGGTGTGGATGAGGATGGAGACTAAGGCAGGAAGCAGAATTTCCAAGGTGACTGTGTTTCTGGAGAGCCAGGAGACAGGGGGAATGTTGCACATAAAGAGCAATATTGGTGGCTGCCCTGAGCTCACAATTCCTGTAGATACAATCAATAAACACACTGGAGGTGGCTCTTGTTTCCCGGGACATTTGGCCTGTCACTGTCCCATCTCTGGTGAAATATCCAGGGGATATAAAAAAAGTTGTTGAGCTGCTCTGCACTCGCAGTCCTGGCCCTTTCTGAGCACTCTGGGTGCTGTGTGATCCATTGGGGGAGGTGCTGGAGTCTCCATCCCTAGAGGTGTTTAAGTCTTGGCTTGACAAAGTCCTGGCTGGGTTGATTTTGTTCGGGTTGGTCCTGCCTTGGTCAGGGGGCTGGACTTGATGACCTCCAGAGGTTTCTTCCAGCTCTATGATTCTATGACTCTATGAACCCTGCATCAGCTGTGGCCAGGAGTTATTCGAGAGACACCGACACCCACCCTTCCCCTACGCCCTCAGCCAGGGGTTTGTGAGGAATTCATGTCAGAGACGTGACTCATGCAGGAACTCCAAAAAAAGCCATTCGGGCAACCACCTGCCCCCTCTCTCCGCTGATGGCTCTGCACACTCGGCCCCTGCACCCTGCACACTGCAGACTCCTACCCACCCAGGCAGGGCAGAGCTGTGTGTGAGAGGGAGGGGCTCAGGGCAGTTTTCTTCCCCAGCCCCTCCATTTGTGCTGTCTATCCAGTCTAGTGTCCTGTCTGCCAACAGTGACCCATGGCAGGTGCCCCAGAAGGGACCATCAGAATCTTCAATGATCAAGGGTCCCTTTCCGAGCATCTGGCAAACAGAGGTTAGGGGCACCGTCCCTGTGCATCCTCGCTAATCGCTGTTCATGCACCTATTCTCCCAGCCTCTTCTGGGAAGGGGAGCTATAGGTTGGCTGTTGGAAGAAACACTTCCATTTGTTTGCTGTAAACCTGCTTCCTGCTGTTTTCATTAGTGAAATAAAATTAATATAAATTCAATGGCCATGCATGATGACAAGGAATTACTAACACTTCCTTATAGACCTTCCCACACCAGTCACGAGCCAATTGTGCGATTTCTCCCAAACAAGAATTAACCAGGTTCAGAATGAGCAGAGCAAACCGAGACTACATATCCCAGTTTTCCTGAGACAATTCTGATTCTTCTTGGTGGGAGTATATCGGGCTATATCTTTGTGGAGTGACTGCCTATATTTGGAGTAGCAACTTGCTGAAGTTTCAATCAAGATACTGATCCCATTGGGACAATGATTCACAGATTCATAAACATTAAGGCCAGAAAGGAATAGTGGATTATCTAGTCTGACCTCCTGCAGAACTTCAGCCACTTACCCCTGTACTGAACCCAATGACTTTTGCTGAAGTAATGCATTAACTGTGTTCATCTAAAGCATTTCTTTCAGGACAGTATCTCTTCTTGATTTGGAGGTACAAGGAAAATCTATTACATAGTCTGGGAGTTCATTTCACTGGTTTAGCATCCTCACTGATAAAACCCCAATGCCTCATTTCCAAATGTAATGTGTTTGACTTCAGTTTGCAGACATTGTTTTTTTAATAATTATCCCTCATTAATTAAAGAGCCCGTTATCACCCAGGTTTGGTCTTCTACTCAATCGTCAATTCAGCTCACTGTCTCCCTGCTTCTATTCACTACATCCGTGTGTATACAGCTCAGGGTACCTTGGGAAGCACACAAGATGAACACAACCCTGGTGTTCATTTCATTCCCAGGATGACTGTGAGCTGTGATGTGACACAGCTGGGAACAAGTCTAATAGTTTCCTAGGACAGTGATCTCTAGACTTCTTAAGGATGAGATTACTTTTTGAACTGAAGTGCAATCCAGGATCCACCTCAGTCCCAAACACCTTTGCCCCACCTTCTCCCAGCCCCTTCTGTCAGGCCCCACCCTACTCACTCCATCCTCCCTCCCTCCTTCATCTTCACTCAGTTTTATCAGGCTGGGGGCTGAGGGTTGGGGTTCAGGGAAGGGGGATGCAGGCTCTAGTCTTGGGCTAAAGGGTTTGGAGTGTGGGAGGGGCTCTGAGCTGTGCCTGGGGCAGGGAGTTGTTGGAGCACAGCCATTCATGTTTACCCCAGCAATGAATTTGGTCTGATGCCCAGAATTTGAGATTCAGACATCTTACTGCTCTGTGGTGTCTAAGTGCTCATATTAGCATCTCCAATTCCAGTTCATGTCTATATATCAACAATCATATAGTCACTGCGGAGGCTCCTGCCCCATTCCTCCCTCGCCTTTTTCCACTTACCCCTCCCTAGACCCCTTTCCTGATGTAAAAAATAAAGGACACGTGTGTTCAAAAATAGAAACTTTCTTTATTTAACAAAACTGGGCGGGGGGGATTAACCTCTGGGGATATTGGGAAAAGGAGGTGGGAGAGGGGAAGAGAGAGGGTGGGAGAGGGGAGGGAGAAATCTGGGAGGAGGGAGCTGGAAGGGGGAAGCCAGGGGAAGAATGAGGAGGGGAAGTATAAAACTATGGTACGCCATGTCTTCAGTACTGTGTACAGATGTGGTCTCCACACCTCAAAAGAGATATTTTGGCCTTGGAAAGGGTTCAGAAAAGGGCAACTCAAATGATTAAGGGTTTGGAACAGGTCCCATATGAAGAGAGGCTAAAGAGACTGGGACTTTTCAGCTTAGAAAAGAGGAGACTGAGGGAGGGATATGATAGAGGTCTATAAAATCAGGAGTGGTGTGGAGAGGGTGAATAAAGAAAAGTTCTTAATTCCCATAATAGAAGGAGTAGAGGAGACCAAATGAAATGAATGGGTAGCAGGCTTCAAACTAATAAAAGAAAGTTCTTCTTCACAAATCAAATACTCAACCTGTGGAACTCTTTGCCAAAGGAGGCTGTGAAGGCTAGAACTATAACAGAGTTTAAAGAGAAGTTAGATAAAGTCATGGAGGTTGGGTCCATGGAGTGCTATTACGGTGTCCCTGGCCTCTGTTTGTGGAAGGCTGGAGATAGATGGCACGAGACAAATGGCTTGGTCATTGTCTTCGGTCCATCCCCTCTGGGGTAGCTGGTGTTGGCTGCTGTCGGCAGACAGGTTACTGGGCTAGATGGACCTTTGGTCTGACCCAGTACGGCCATTCTTATGTTCTTAAGTTCTAAGCTCAGGGCTGGGGGTCTCAGTGGACCACCTTGATTTTCATGCAAACCTGCTCCTGGGTTCGCATGTGGCCTTTGGTGGCCAGGCTGGCAGCTATCCTGCCCTAAATGGCCACTTTCCTGTGCCTAGTGCAGAGATAGTGGATGTTGGAGGCCTCCCCCCAAACCTGGATGAGGTCCACGATCTCTGCACTAGACCAGGCAGGCCCTAACCTCTCGAGGCCCCAGGCAGGCTCCTGGGAGCCGCCAGCCTGGTCCTCAGAAGTGGCGGAGGGCTGGATGGCAGTGGGTGGCTGGCTCATGCCGTGCCAGGTGCAGGGTCTGCTGGCTGGGTGCTGGCAGGCTTGCACCTGGCACACGCACCGTAGCCAGACTGGGCTCTGGGGCTGTGAGGTGGGCAGAAGAGTTTCCCTGGATTGACCCAGAGTGGGCACCAGGGCGAGCTGGGAAGCTGGGGAGGGCTAGCCTCCAACTAGTTCGAATTAAGTGGCTACACAGCCCTTAAATCGAATTACTTAATTCGAACTAGGAGTTAGTCCTCATAGAATGAGGTTTACCTAGTTCGAATTAAGTGCTCGAATTAAGACATTTCCTGTCCCAGACGACAACACTGAGTCCTGCTTCCTCCTGGATCTGCAGAGGGACAAATCCATTGGCAGCGTCTGAGAGCAGAATCGGTGTGGATACACAACTCCATGTGAGCTCTCAGTGTGCAGCTGACTGGGATAATGTGACTCCTAGGGACACAGGCATGGAAGGGACCTCTTGGGTCAGTGGTGGTCACCACAACATATATTTTCATGCCTAAACCTGTCCAACTCCATCTTAAAACCAGCTGGGTTGTTTGAGCTCCCCAAGCCCAACTCTTGTTAGGCAGCTATTCCAGAACCGCCCTTCTCAGATACTCGATACCCCCCTTCTCTTTGCAGATGCAGTTTAACCCTGGCTGGTTTCTCACCGTTGGTTCTTGTGCTAACGCTGACATTTAGCTATAGGTGCTTGGCTCTCTCCTTGGTGTTGACCCGCCTTCCCAATGTTTTTATAGACCAATACTATCCCCGCTTGGCCTGTGTTTTGTTAGACTAAGCCAACCACACTCCTTTCATCTTCTCATAGACAGTCCCTCTACTGCCCTGGAAATCTTAGGAGACCATCCTCTGCACTTGTTCCAGCCTGGATTCCTCCCGGAATCTCATGAGCAGAATTTTACAGAGGTTGCCATAGCCGGTCTCATCAGGGCCTCTACAATGCGTGTAACACTGCTCTGTGTCACCTGAGACATTCTAGGGCAGGGGTCACCAGCCAGTCAATTGGGATCTTGGTAGATCTTGGAGCCTCTGACAGGGATCCTGACAGGTTTGGCCAGGAGGCTGTCGAGTGCAGGCACCTCACCTGTCCCTTAGCACTGCCGTGCTGCTCCTGCCCTCTGCCTTGGAGGTGTCCGCCATCCCCGGGTGTTGCCTTGCTGTGCAGGGCACGGGAAGTAAAAGAGAGGGTGCTGCTGTCAGGGAGACCTCCACCCTGGACCCCACCAGGGATGGAGAGAGTTTGCAGGTTGCTTTTGGGAGTGGTGCAGAGCCAGGGCAGGGGTTGGCCTTCCTTAGCCACACTGCACCACCACCAAGAAGACACCTGTGGTAAGCGGTGCCCAGCTGGAGCCTGCATCCTGAACCCCGGCCTCAGTTCTGAACCCCTCCTCCACTCCAAACCCAGCCCTATCCCTGAGTCCCTCTGCCCCCCAAAAACACTTTGATGATCCTCGCACGCAGGCGTGTGCTTTTCACGCTGTACACTATCGGATTCAGCAGGGGTGGGACGAGCAGGGAGACGTAGCTCAGAAGAATCCGAAGCAAAGGAGAAGTGTCCTTCGCTAATCTGTGTATTAGAGACAAGCTGAACTCTGGTGTGTAGAACAGCAGCACAGCACAGAGGTGGGAGACGCAGGTGCTCAGGGCCCTGAGGCACTCCACACGGGACGCGATGCTCAGCACTGTTTTGAGGATCATCACATAAGAGAAGAAAATGAGCAGCAAGTCCAGCCCCATCGTTGAGATTCTAATGAACAAGCCATAGATGTTGTTGACCGTGATGTCTGAACACGCCATTTTCATGACCTCCATGTTCAGGCAGAAGGAGTGGGAGAGGACATTGGCTCGACAGTAGCGGTACGGCTTCAGAAGAAAGGGGAATGGGAATACTAGCACCACTGATTTTAGCACAGACACCAGCCCCATCTTGGATATTCTCGGCAGAGTTAAGATGGAGGCGTATCTCAGTGGGTTGCAGATCGCAATGAAGCGGTCAATGGCCATCAACAAGAGCACGGCAGATTCCGTGCACTGAAGCGCAGCAATGAAGGACAGCTGGGCAAAACAAGCATCGAGGCCGATCTCCCTAGAGTTAAACAAGTACACGCCCAGTATGGTCGGCATGGTGGTTATGAGAAAGCCAACATCTGTAAAAGCCAACATGGAGAGGAAAATGTACATGGGCTCATGCAGGCTTGGGTCTGTTTTTATAATGAATAGAATGACTGAATTTCCTACTATAGAAATTACGTATATGAAGCAGAAGAGGATTGCGATCCAGAGATAAACATCTTCCTGACCAGGTATCCTGCTGAGAAGAAATACGGCATAGCTCAATGCGGTGTCATTGAGAGCTGACATTACTAGCGGCTCAGGTCTGAGGAGTTTTGTCCTTTTTTTCCTGAAAGGTACAAGAATAGACAAAGTGATATTTAAAGACACGTCTCTCTGCTCTCAAGACAAGTCTGAATACACACAGGAGATAAAGGGAAATCAGCAAAGACAGTCTGCGATGGGCCCCACTGAAAGGAAGACAGACACTGCCAGAAAAGGTCAGATTGTGACAAGGTAGCGGCACAGAGGGACATACCCAGAAGCTGCTTGCTCGGCTGGGAGCAGAGGCCAACAGCCGTGAACGCGCTGCTGTGACTTGCCAGTAGGGAACCTGTGGGAGGCTGCTATGCCCAGCCCGCTGTCCCATTTCCCTACTCCCTCCAGTTGTAGGGATCCCAACCAAAAGATGCAGCTGTGCTAATGCTTTACATGTCAAGGAAGAGCGAAAATGGGAGGCAGAGAGTTGCAGTCAGCAGCAGATTGGGGAGAGCCCCTGCTAGGAAACTTCTCCTCTCCAGCCCTGTGCTGAAAATGGTAGAGTCCCAGGATATGCCCTGCAGCATGGATCTGGCCCCGAGGCCAAGGGGAGGGACTCCTTAGTTCTACACCAAGACTCAGTATTGTTGGTTTCTTTATGATAGCTACATGTTGTTATAGATTTTAGGGACAGGTCCAATGTGAGCTCTTTCTTACGGACGGTCCATGAATTCACTGACGGTTGGAACCTGGAGAAAAGGGTTTGGGGTCTGAGTGGACAGGCTGTTATTTTAAAGAAGACATATTCGCCCACATTATGATGTATTCCCGCTGTTTAGATTGCACAGTATTCTGGTGGAAGAAGACCGGCTGGCCACATCTCTCCCCTTGCAGGCTCCCAATGGGAAGAACCATAGATGCCGAACCACCTCAGAGCTACAGGGCAACTTCAGTCAAACCACAGTGTGCGGTAACCCAGAGCCCACAAAGGGCTGGGAAGGTTGCAGGATTGCACCTCACCAGAGGGCAGCTAAGAGGCCCAACATCTAGGACTCACAGTTCAGAGACAGGGCTGAGGTGCCAGGAGCCCTTGTCAATCTGAGGGGTCTGTAAAGGGCAGAAATGTTAGAGCCCTCAGCCTGATAGGAAACAGAAACATGCCCTGTTAGACACAGAGCAACGCAGCTCTGAATTCCTGCCCTCACAACTGAGCCAGAGAATACAATTTGTAAAACTACATTTGCTGGTTAAATTTCCAGGAGCAAATAAACCCAAAGCTATTTAGAAACCTACCCCCGGACAGCATCTCACCTTCTAGAACTGGGACCCACTGAGAAATCCTGACTCTGGGCATTGGGGGGGTGTAACACTCCACGCTATTTTGAATTTCTATGTTACTTAAATACCCCATCATGGATCATGGGCAGTTGTACCAGCGGGCTTCCAAAACTGTCTTGTGCTGCCTTCCCTTTACTCCCATCACTGCGTCACCCCGACAGCCCAGCTGAGTCCTCTACCGCTGCACAGAACAGCTGCCAATGCAAACAGCCTGCAGCCTTTGCCGTGCACTTCACATTTTAGGGACAGTGAAACCTGCCAACGTACCCAGTTCCTGCTACACGGGAGCCGCTGGCACCAGAGGTCTTCACCCTGAAGGAGAAGGAGTCATCGGAGAGGTTGCTCGGGCAGCAGGCAGTGTGTGTTCAGATAGAGAGGCAACTGCCTTTATGCAGCATGTTTGTACCTTCCCTTGGGGCCACTTGGCCATCAGGGAACCTCAGCTGTTTGGCTTCATGTGCACCAGCTTTAACCCCGTCACAGCCAGTGGCAAATGGTAGGAGGCCATATCTCAGGGGATGGTGGAGTTGGGGTGGGGGGGTTGATATTCAACAACTGGCGTGCAGCACGAGCCCTGCACCAGGCTCCACCACTGGAATCCAGGCTTGTTTGTGTGGTTCCCATGAGTCACATGGCACCCGCGGGGTGAATGGCTGGTGATGATGATGGTGTCAGACCCACGGTCCAGGGAATCCCCAATTTAGATTCATCTGAGATGGTCACTGTCACATTACCAAATTGGAGGGAAGCAGCCAGATCGCTGCTGCACCCCTAGGTGGGGGTGTTGGCCCCAGAAATTGATATGGGGGGAGCCATGTGGGGTATTGAATGGGAGCTTATTGTTTGTTAATCTTATGTACACTATTTATGTGAGTGTATAATGTCTGTGTGTGTAGGTAGGAATCTGTAATCTGTGTGGAAGCTGAATATTTCTGTGAATGTGGTTAAGCATGGCTATGGACAGGCTGAGTAGCAAAGCCCTGTGGAACAATGACTCTCAATAGGCTATGGACACACCCAGAGAATGGGATTTGTCACCTGAGGGCACCCAGCAGGAAACATAGAGATTGGCCTCTGACCAGGTGACTGGCTGCATACAAGAAGAGGCCAGGAAGGAGTATAAAGAGGCCATGCGGTCGATGCCATTTTGTTCTCAGCTCAGCACTTCATCCCAGAGGCAGCACTGCAGGGATTGAAGAGCCCGGAAGACCTGTGAACCCATCCTGATCGTAGGATGTGCAATAAGAACTTTTAAACCAGCAGCTGCAACACCTCTGCTAGAGCCTGCATCGAGAACTGGGAGATTCGGTGCATGTAACGCACTGTACTTTAATAACCTTACTCTCATGCTTTTCTTTCTTGTAATAATAAACCTTTAGATATAGATTCTAAAGGATTGGCCCAGCGTGATTTGTGGGTAAGGTCCAGAGGGTAAATTGACCAGGGATCTGTGGCTGGTTTCTTGGAACCGGACAGAACTTGTTCGGGGTAGGTGGGATTGGGTGCTAGGACCCCCCACCTGTGTATGAGGCCCGGGGCCATCTGGGGCACGGATATTGCTGGGGTTTCGGAGGGGTTTTGCTCAGGAGGCTTCAGGCAGGTTGCTGAAGCGCTCTGTGAGACTGGTTTGTGGCCTGTTTGGAGAGGTCGCCAGTCAGGGGGACTGTAAAGAGCCCCGGATTTGAGCAATTCGCCCTGAGCGGATGCCCTAAGCTGTGCCCAGACACGGCCCGGTCCGTCACAGTCACAGCAGCCACTGCCCTTAGAATCTGCGGCAGGGGCGTTGTGCAGAGTGGAGGGTGCTGCACACAGAGGGGAAGGCTGGTTGGAATAGCTGATGGGCCCAGTACCCCAGCTCGAGACTGGTTGGGAAGTTGTGGCCTTTCCATACCCAGAGGGCAGCCCTAGACTCTCAGTGCCACCCTCCTTTCCGTTACGAGGGAGAGGCCAGTGCTAAGTCTCCAGCGTCTCTTTGGGGTCTAAGCAGCTGGGCTGCATGCTGGCCACAGAGCTTTCTGCAGAGAACAATGAAAACTCACCTCAGAAATGGATGAAGGGGAAATATTTGTTTGACTCAGGGTGTTTTGTGGAGGGGAATAATCCCTTGGTTTTCCAGCCCAGCTCTGGCTCAATTCATCCCCCTCTGTCACTCATGCCACAGTGCACAACCCTACCTAGTACCATTCAACCCTCCAGCAACCTCCCAGATTCAACAGACCCTGGTCCCTTGCTAGGGCAGCACTGACAGCTTTGTGGCACAAGGATCCCCTGGAAATAGCATCCCAGCCAGCACTGGAGCAGTTTTTGGCCGTAAGCGCAGCCATATTGGGTTAACCCAATGGTCCATCTAGCACAATATCCTGTCCTCCAACAGAGACCTATCTCCTGTCATCGGTTCTCAGCTTTTGGCAGTCAGGCTCAGAGACACCCAAAACACAGGGGCTGATTCCCAGACGGTCTTGGCTAATAGCCATTAATTGATCTATCATCCAGGGACTCAGGTAGATCTTTTTGGGGGCCAGTTGTATTTTTGGTCTTCACAACATTTCCATGGGTTGTGTGTTGTGTTATAAAGTGCTTTCTGTGTGTGTGTGTGTGTGTGTGTGTTAAATTTACTTCCTATTAATTGCCTCTTGTGAGGGGGTAAATAACACTTCCAAATTTACTTTCTCCATACCACTCATGTTTTTATAGACCTCTATCATCAGCACCACTCTTACTTGTGTAAGAACAGGCCTAGTCTTTTTAATCTCACCTTATCTGGAAGCCGTTCCACAACCACCAACATTTCTGGCATGTCTCTGCACTTTTCCCAAATCAAATATATCTTTTTTGAGATGGGGCAGCCAGAACTGCCCACAGAATTCAAGATGCGGACTTACACACAGGCAAAATAATATTCTCTCTTTTGTTAACTATGTTTTTACTGATGCTTCCAACATGGATGAAGGCTAGAGCCATCCCACCCCTACCACTGCTGCCTAAGCTATGCCCTCTCCTCCATGGCTGGAGCCCCGAACTCCACACACAACCCTGCTTTGAGGAGCCCGGGGTCTGTCTGATCCCCCGCAGGTGCATTTTGTCTCCCCTCCTGAGAGTTCAAACCTCTCCACAGGAAACGCTAGTCTCTTCCCTGGGAACGTGAGCTTTTTATACGTGCCATTGTAGGTTCCAGGGGAGCTGAGGAGCAGTGTGATATGGGAAGGGATTATGACATAGTTATGGTGCATCTTGCACAACATGCGCCTTGTGAGGTGTCTCTGGAAAAGTTACGATTTGAAGACCATGGAGATCCCGTTTGTGTGCGTGTATCTGAATTTACACAAATTGACCAAGTATCCGTATTTCAAATGTAGCTGCACCTGGGAGACACCACTAGGTCAAACACTTCCAGATCAGACAGCTGACTGTGAAGGGTATATTCAGGGTAATGGGCTATGAGGGCAAACAAGAGGCCCCAGGAGAAGTTTGTCCTCCACTAGGTCAGTCTCAGAGAACACTGAGGACAGCCTACAGGTAATGGCTGGGTTTATTTAGCAGGACACGCAACCATGTCTGCCCCCCTCCCCAAGGAGCAAATGGCTAAGGGC